AGTTGAAATCGATTCCAAAGAGCAATCCGATGCGCCGGAAGGACGAGCAAATGGTGTGTCCAACAAGGCCGCTAACGGAGCGACACCTCGAAAGGCTGGCGACGGAGACGAGAAGATAGCAGAGGTCCTACTACCACTGAGATTTCCTGCCCTAGCACCTCATGGACCGCTCGCCCCCGCTCGGGACCAGCAGGGTGGCCGCGAGTGGGCTCACATGGTCGACGTCAATCACGAAATGACCAACTTCCACGAGCTCGTTCCGGAAATGGCACGCACATGGCCCTTCGAATTGGACACCTTCCAGAAACAGGCCGTCTATCATCTGGAGGAGGGTGATTCCGTCTTTGTCGCGGCGCATACGTCCGCTGGCAAGACAGTAGTGGCTGAGTATGCTATGGCGCTGGCAGCGAAACACATGACCAAGACGATCTACACATCACCGATTAAGGCACTCAGCAACCAGAAGTTCCGGGACTTTCGGAATGATTTTGAGGACGTCGGCATTTTGACTGGCGACGTACAGATACGTCCTGAAGCCAGTTGCCTCATCATGACTACGGAGATTCTACGGAGTATGCTGTATCGCGGAGCCGACGTGATGCGTGACGTCGAATTCGTCGTCTTCGATGAAGTACACTACGTCAACGATTCCGAGCGTGGTGTGGTGTGGGAAGAGGTCATCATTATGCTGCCCGAGCATGTGACGTTGATATGTCTGTCTGCAACGGTGCCGAACACGTACGAGTTCGCTTCGTGGATAGGGCGGACGAAGAAGAAGGACATCTATGTCATTTCAACACCTAAGCGACCTGTGCCACTCGAGCACTACCTCTGGGCAGACAAGAAAGTGTTCAAGATCGTAGACGCTAACAAGCAATGGATCGAGAAGGGGTGGAAGGATGCAAATGATGCGATGAGCGGGAGAGACAAGCTGATCGCTGCTGAACAGAAAGCCAAAGACAAAGCAGAGAGAGCAAAGGAGAAAGAGGACGCTGCAATTGCAGCAGGCCGTGGTGGTCGCGGTGGCGGGAGAGGCCAGAACGGCCGAGGTGGACAGCAGCAAGGTGGAGGCAACCAACGTGGCGGTCCGCAGCAGCGGGGGCGAGGCCAGCCAGCAACTCGAGGCCAGGGTAATATTGCCCGAACCGGCCGCGGTGGTGGGCGGACAACAGCTGCTCAAGACCGGAATATCTGGGTGCATCTTGTGCAGCATCTGCGAAAAGAGGAGCTACTACCGTGCTGTATCTTCGTTTTCTCCAAGAAGCGTTGCGAGGAGAACGCCGATGCTTTGGCGAAACTCGATTACTGCACAGCCACTGAGAAGAGCACCATCCACATGATCCTTGAGAAATCGCTAGCACGCCTGACGCCGGATGATAGACAGCTGCCACAGATTCTGCGCATGCGGGAGTTACTTGGCAGAGGTATCGCAGTTCACCACGGTGGCTTGTTGCCCATCGTAAAAGAGTGTGTCGAGATACTGTTCGCCAAGACGCTCGTGAAAGTGCTCTTTGCCACTGAAACGTTCGCGATGGGATTGAATCTACCGACAAGGACAGTGGTCTTCTCCGGCTTCCGCAAACCTGACAGCAAGTCTTTCCGCGACCTTCTGCCAGGAGAGTATACGCAGATGGCTGGCAGGGCTGGACGCAGAGGACTGGACACGGTTGGGTATGTCATATTGGTCAGCCCTGGACAAGACGAAGCACCGGCTCCCACACGTCTAAAGCAGATGATGCTCGGCAACCCCACCAAGTTGCGGTCCCAATTCCGCTTGACGTACAACATGATCCTGAATCTTCTTCGTGTCGAAGCTCTTAAGATTGAGGAAATGATCAAGCGGTCTTTCTCGGAGAACGCTACTCAAGCGGCGTTACCTGAGCACGAGAAGCAGATCAAGGTGCTGGAGGCCGATCTGGCGAATGTTAAGCGGGAGCCTTGTAGCATATGCGATCAAGACATCGAGCAATGCCACCAGGCTGGAGTCGAGTATGAGTATCTCACTCGACAACTTCGTCTCGCCGTACTCGCCACAGCGGGCGGACGTCGCATGTTCCAGCCGAAGCGTCTTATTGCGATGAAAGACCCGAGCGGTGTTCGCACGGCTGGGGTTCTGCTTGGCGAGGACGCAAGAGGCGGGGCTGCTGCCACGTTCCAGGTGTTGGAAGTCGTGGCGAAGCCGAAGAGAGAGCGACAGGATGCGGATTCCCTGCCGTACTTACCGCGGTTGCGGAAACACTTTGCGCAGCTGCCGCAGACGGAAGTCGAGCTGGACCTGAAGGTGTCGATGATCAGCCTAGACGACATCGAAGTTCTTACCGGAAGCCTTGTGCAGATCGATGCCAATGCTGTACTGAAGAAGGACACGGAAGCAATGGCCAAAGCCAAAGCCGAGCTACTCACCGTCTGCTCCTCATGGACATCCTCGACCTGGGATGAACTCGACTACGGGAAGTCACTGAAAGAGATCTCCGTCCGCACACTCCTCGACGACCGCTCCGAAGCAGCAGACTTCGCGCAATCCCGCGCCTGCATCGACTGCCCAGACTTCGCCAAGCACTACGCGATGCAACACTCCGTCTGGCTAATCCAAGACAACATCTCCACCATCCGGCAACTCATGTCGGACAAGAACCTCCAGCTCCTGCCCGACTACCAACAGCGCCTCCTCGTCCTCCAAGACCTCGGATTCATCGACGCCGACTCCCGCGTCGAGCTCAAAGGCAAAGTCGCCTGCGAAATCCACTCGGCGGACGAACTCATCCTCACCGAGCTCATCCTCGAGAACGTGCTGGCCGACTACGAGGCCGAGGAAATCGTCGCGCTGCTCTCCTCGTTCGTCTTCCAGGAGAAAACCGAGTGGGAACCCACCATGACTCCCGCTCTGTCCCGAGGCCAAGCAGCGATAATCAAGATCTCGGAGAAAATCAACGAGTTCCAGACGATGCACCAAGTCTGGCTCTCGTCGGAGGAGTCGGATGATTTCGAGAGTAAGCCTCGTTTTGGGTTGGTGGAGGTGGTGTACGAGTGGGCGCGGGGGATGCCTTTTAGCGCCATCACGGAGCTGACGGATGTGTTGGAGGGGACGATTGTGAGGGTGATAACGCGGTTGAACGAGACGTGTCGGGAGGTGGAGAATGCGGCGACGATTATTGGGGATCCGGGGTTGGTGGCGAAGATGGTGAGGTGTCAGGAGATGATCAAGAGGGATATTATTGCGACGACGTCGTTGTACATGTGAGCGGGTGAGTTGGGTGGAGTGCAGGATATAGGTTGGATAAGGTATCCTCTGCGATCCTCAATCTACGCCACGATAGCCCGTCGATCCCCACGCATCTCTACATCATCCGCCTCACACTCCCGCGCACCTCCTCCGCACACCCCTGGATCAGAAAATAGCCAAAGCATTCGGCGGACTCGCCACCCCCCCAGGCACATTAACAACCTCACTCGTCAAGAAAAAACTCCACCTCCCCACCTCCCCGCAATGCCGTCCCAACGCCTCCAGATCAAACAACTCCCCAATAGGCATCCCCCACCCCCCCAGCATCACCTCATGCAACGCATACTCCCTCTGCGTCGGCCACGCCTCCCAACTCGGATGATCGCCCCCCGCGGCACTGAAATTGCTCCACAAAAACTCCAGCATAGCCTCGCTCTGCTCGACCCCGGTGAAGGTTAGCGGTTGCTTTGCCCGCACGGCCTCGATTTCCGCCCGCGAGAGAGCGGCGTAGGCTTGCATGTAGCCGGAGCGCACGAGGAGGATGTCGCCGAAGCGGATCTCGGTTTTTTGCGCTTCGGCGACGCGGCGGAGGTCCGCGACGGAGATGGAGCCCGTTTCGAAGGCGTTGTGGGGAGGGGGAGGGGTTTGGGCGAGGCGCCAGGCGTGGTAGTCGAGCAGGATGCCGCGGCCTACTATGCCTTTGGCGGCCCAGGCGCCGATGCCGAGGGTGTTTGTGGCGGGCACGCCGTTGGTGCCGTGGATTTGGTCGAGGGTCGTGTTGTTGTAAAAGATGGCTTCTTTCTGGTAGCCGACTGGAGAAGGGAGGTGGGTGTTAGCGTTGGTGATGCGTTGATGTTAATGCGGAAGGGGAGACGGACAGTGGCGGAAGCCATCCCATTGGGTGCTGCTCTGCGTATTGAAGGTCCAGACGTCGTCGTTGACGATGCGGGGAGTTTTCTGGTAGACTTCCTTGTGGAAGGCTTGCCGGCCGAAGAGGGGGATGTCTTTCTGGGCGTCGAGGGGCCAGTCGAGGCCGATGCGGATGCCGGTTTGGATTTCGCTGGAGGCGGCTTTGACGATGTCGTCGGTCAGGCGGTTGAGGGTGCCGAGTTGGTCGTCTTTGCCGTATCTGCCTGCCACTCAGCACACGGTCTCGCAGGCAAGATTGGAGAACGGGATGGCTTACAGGCCCCAGGCGTTGTGGTGCGGTCCGTTCTTGTCGAGTGGGAGCTCGGAGAACTTGGGAATTTTGTGTGCCATTGCGATATAGTTGCAAAGGGAGAGAGAGGAGCGGGTTGCCTCGCTTGAAGTCCAACGATGCACGTGGTGCCTAGATGTACGGCTTGTATGCGACTCTCATCAAGCAAGGCGGAGGGAGAGGTGCAATCGATGAGGAGATGGCCTGCGGAGAGAGCTCGACCGACCTCGGAACATTGCTTCAATCCCCTCAGCTAGCAATGAGGCAAACGGTCTCGAGCAATGCTCTTGTCCCTAGTGATCGCTCCAGTGACAACAACGCTCCAACCGGCGGAACGAACTCATTCAGGTGCTGCTGTTAGTCCAGCGTGGTGAAGTTGGGGAACATGTAAGGTAAGGTAGTGAACGAACTAGACGATGTGTCTAGTGGTAGGTGCCGCCCTGTACAACCTCCCCAGCCCCACATTCAGTCAGTCATATCAAGCCAAAAGGGTCACCTATCCGTAAACCTGCCTTATTACCTGACTTACTTAACACTTAGAACTTTCCCTGTAGAACCCCAAAACGTCAAAAAAATCAACGACCCCGATGGGACTCGAACCCACAATCTTTGCCAGTCTACGAGTAGGAATGTTCTCCTACCGCCGGAAAGCAACGCCTTACCATTAGGCCACGGAGCCTGCCTCATTGTTTCTGAGGCCTTGCCAAATTATGTACCGCTCAGTTTGCTCCGACGAAACAGTCGGTTGTCAGTCTCTGAACAACAATCAACTACGACAGCTGACGCTTGGCCGGTTTCCACGAGACGGGTAATAGGCAGCGAGCTCGTACAGCGAGGGGATTGAGTCTCAAAATTTCGACGTAGAGGTCAGACTCGCGCCGAACCGATCATCTCTTGTGCCGTAACCTAGCATCTAGTTCTCCATTTTCGCCTCAACGTATGAAGGGAGCCTCACAACGAGATATCTTAAGCGAAGATAACACTGACTGGGTCACCATACATGTACGCATACCACAACAAACTACTAGTGAGCTGTGAGAGCAGGATGTTGAGGCGGGGACCGTAAAGCGAGGCGAGCAAGTTGGTGGCCCGGCCGTATCGGTTGGTCGCGGAAGAGACACGCATATATGGCGGGATTGGGGACAAGGCGGCAGCAAATGAACTGCAGGTGGCATGATTGTGCACATACGCAGGGCTGGTGCAGCGGTCGAATTGAACAGTGGGCGGGCGTGGAGTACTGGAGATAGCTGGCCTTGACATGTACCGTCGGGTGTACGATGAGGAGGTGTGGTTTGTCGAGCGGGCAGACCGGATCGGCAAAGTGATGAAAGAGAGCGTCGTGGCCGGATTCGGCCTAGAGCAGCAGTCTCTGACACAACCTCAGCGTGAGGAGGACACGGAGAGGGAAAAGAGTGCGGTGACGCCGTCTGACCACCACCTCGACCTCCCATATGTCTGCCTACCCTTCCTCGTTTGTCTTTCCGCCCTACATTTCACGAAAGTAAAAACACATAGACGTCGCGGAAATTGTTTGGGTTGGTCCGAAAATTCTAATCTCGGCCTCCCACTCCCGGAATACCCCGGCCCGCGCTGAGGAGTTCGCTGTCTTCACCTACGGGCCACGGCCAACATATCCTTTCGCCTCCTACACCCACTCCTCCCCCCATCCACCTGAACCCGGACTACATACTCTCCTGTTCGCTGGTAGACTCTCGGCGCGTGGGAACGGACAGCGGCAACCACACTTCACCCGTCGCGCCACCGGCCAACGGACTCGCACATCGCTGCGCCTGCGTCTACGCCACAGTTCATTCCACAAGACGGACAGGACAGCAAACACGCTCCTTGGCCTGCGCGAGTCCGACACGCAATACATCGCCGCATCTCTCCGATCATCGCATTCACGCGCCACCTACAAACGACACCTGGCCACCTACACTCATACTCCGGACCTTTTGACTAAGACCTCCGGGCGTCACCAACGAACGTCACCTCACTTCGGCAACTTCACCTCACTTCACCTCACTCGAATAATTTGCAGTCGGCAGTATTGGACAAGTACATCCACATCTACATTCATTCCACCAGAGACAAGCATCCAGAAATACCCAACAACACCGGTGCAATACACAACGCTGCATGAACGGCCGGTAGATTTCGCGCCTCCCTGTCCGGTGCGCCGCAGAGCAAGAAACGGTGGGTCACCCCGCGGACGGACAAGCCAGTGACGGTGACTGACGGCGACTCATACAGGTCGTGTGCGCACACCGTTTCTTCGCCGGAGTCACTCCCCGTCATCATGCCCGCTTTCTACAATTCTCGCACCGCTGCGAGCCAAATGCCAATCACACCGCCAGACTCGGGCTCAGGATACCAGTACAGCAACATGTACCCGCAGAACACCTACGCGCCGCATCCGAGCCTGAACCAGCCCCGCCACGAGAGCGCATACGTTTACTCGCAAAGTTACATGCATCCGGCAGCTCCGCCTGCGCCAGCCGCGTATCCGTACCAGCAATCAAACTACCAGCCTACGACGACTCTACCGCCGATTGCGAACTACCATGAGCCCATTGGAGCGCCAATCTTGCCGCCTCTGCGCATCAACGAGCATCCGCCTTTCAATGACGACGACTACTACCGGCGCCGCCATCAGCAAGAGCAACACACCGTGGCGGCGCGTGAGCAGCAACGAGAGGTCGTCAAAGAGGAGAAGGCGACGGGCGGCGTGTCTGCGAAGCTGGACTACGACATGGAATGCATGACAGACTTCGTCGCGGAGGCGACCATGACGATGTATGCTCTCCACAGATCCCCTCTCTGCGTGGCAGATATTGACATAACACGAAGCTTCCATCACAAGATGCAAAACCCGCCATCATTTCGCAAATGGGTGCTCCAGGTACTCTCGGCGACTAGGCTGCCGTCTTCGACAATCATGCTCAGCATGCATTACTTGAACGACAGGGTGGCGCACTTCCCGGAAACGGTGTCGACGAGCGAGAACCAGATCTATCGGCTATTGGCGGTATCGCTCATCCTCGGCAGCAAATTCCTCGATGACAATACCTTCATCAACCGGTCCTGGTCTGACGTCACCGCGATCAAGGTGTCCGAGCTCAACCAGCTGGAAGTGGACTGGCTTCAGCTCATCCACTGGGAGCTTCATGTGGACCCGAAAGCATCGAACGGGCTTCAAGCGTGGCTGCACGCGTGGAAAGAGTACCAGGAGAAGGATCTTGTGAAGCATCAACCCGCTCGTCTGTCGCCACTCGACACCAACGTTCTGAAGAACAACGACCACCGAGATGGGTACTCCACCTACCCAACGCCGCAAAGCGCAGTCCCAAGCCGAACATACGACACTCCGCACTCCGCCGGGTACGCCGCTCCCCCGTCGCAATACGCCAACACCTCGTACACGTCCGACCTGTGGCTAGCCAGCGAGCGCCAGTCGAGCATCGACGACTACTATCGGCGCAACAACAATCGGTACTCTGGGCTCCCCGACCTCAACGACTACGGCCACCAAGCCTCCGCCCGGCAATCCACCTACGGCTACCCGCAGACCGCGCACCCGGCCTACTACCAAACACCGGCCTACGGCTCAGCGTGGGACCAAGGGGCCTGGAACGCCGCGCACCGTATGGATTGCGCCTGCCAGACTTGCATCTATCAGCAGCATTATCGGCCGTACGCTACCTCGAGCTATACGCAGACTGTCATGGGCTGAACACGGCTTCATCGTCATCAACGTCATTACATTGGCGGAGAACATCATCATCATCATCATCATCACTTCTACGACGCTTAGCGTGGGCGTCTAATGCACATACACACGACTCTTGAAGCGTTCTCGCATCTCACCACCGAAAAGACTTGCTTCACCAAACCGGGGAATACTGCTCGACCACCGAAGTATCTAGACCATCCACGGGACCTTGCTTACACTTTCTGCACAAAATTGAAATCCTTCGAAATCGGCCTGTCTAGCAACTCCACGGGCACAAGGCGGACGGAAAAAATATCGGGACTAGGGGACTTCCACTTCATTACTTTTAAGCGTTGCTTTCCAATTGTTTTAGCAAGGCGTTGTTGTTTGTTGCGAATTCAGGGGGGTTGGGGGACAAAATGGAGCGAGCGAGCGAGCGGGTGCCTTGCTTCTCGCAACTGCCGCGACTCTTTATTGCTAGCCTGCTTTCGCACGGCGTCGATTTTTTTTTCCACCGCCACCAAAAGGCGAGGCGCGAGGCTGCGGGATAGCGGGATCTTAGGGACGGATGGGAAGGGGTTGTCAGCGTTTTGCTTGTTCTGCTTGCACTGCTTCTTTACTGCCAGCGAGGGAGGGAGGGAGGGAGGCCGAAAATACAGGACGGCCGTCGAGTCATCGTCAATCGGGGAAGGAGGTTTCTTGAGCAAGGTTTTTTTTAGAGAGAGGGGGGAGGTGGGATATACAGTTTTGGGGGAAATGGGATGTGCTACTTTTCCATACGCCTGTGAGGCGGGCGGGCGGGACAGGGGACTGGACGTGCTCGCTCGCGGAGGGGATGGTGGGTAGCACATAACTTAGGTCGCTTTGATAGGAGCTGCTTGCTCTCTATATCTAAGACACTACTTCTGATCCTCGAATCCGTTTCACTAGGTAGTCTTGCGCCGACGTGAATAATCTCCACACAACACCGTGGGGTGGTGTCGACGCAGCATGCCAACGGCGTCCGTCCATTGCATAGCAGGGCTTCCTCCGCCCCCTACGCATCCCAACGCCTTCTACCCGCATAAACTCCCGCCAGACCCCAGCCCCCACCCGGTACGCCATCATCCCCACCCAGCATTCCCACGCAACCACACACAGCCCAACAAGGACCGCCTCGACCCCCCCAACCTACCCTCCCTTCTCCTCCCCTTCCCCCCATATCCTCGACATCTCTCAAACAGGAAACCCACTCAACCCCACCCCCAACCCTGCCCTGGGCCTCATCCCCACCTCCGCCTCCACACCCCACAACCCGCTCCAACCCCTCTCCGCCTTTTTGGCCTCTTCGAAAGCTGCGCGGCAGTCTGCGGGTAGTTCTGCTAGGATGTCGTCGGGGATGCCGCAGAGTCCTCCGCCGCCGGTAGATGAGGCCGGGGTGGTGTTGTTGGGGCCAGGGTGGGAGGGGTTGGTGAGGGCGGGGGAGAGAAAGTGCGTGTCTATTACTGCGAAATTGCGGGAGATGATGGGGGGCACGGGGGAGAAGATTGTTGGCGTGAGCGTAGGTAGGGAGGGTGGGAGGTCTTGGGCGTCCGGGTCGTCGGCGTGGTCGCCGGTGTCGGCGTGAGAGGTGGCGCCGTTGGTGAGGTGATAGCCGTTCGGAGTAGTATGCTGTTGCTGGGGTGAGCTGGCTGTAGCCGGCGGGGGTATCTGCTCCCACCTGGCGCGCGTGGGCTGCATGATTTGTGGGTAGAACATCATGTTCGTGTGAGCATCGTAGACGCCGTCCAGATTCGACTTGCGGGCGGCGGCGGCGAAGGTGTTGAAGCGACTGCGAAACCCATTAGCGTGAGCACGACGAATGACACTTGTGCGCGACATACCTCGCCTCCCTAGCATGCATGTGCTGCCAATTCCCCACCGTGACATTTGTCCTCCTCTTCCCCATCGGCCCCGGCTTCCCAGGTACGGCACCCTGCGCCGCAATC